ACTTAGCATAATGCCCTTGAGATTCAACATTTAGCATATATCAGCACTTCATCCTTTTTTTACAGCTGAATAATATTCTATTGTATGTGTATGCCACAATTTATCTATCCAACCATTGATGGACATTTGGACTGTTTTCCCCTTCTGACTATTGTGAATAGTGCTACTGAACATATGTGTACAATATTTGAATAACTCTTTTCAATTATGTTGAGTTTATCTCTAGGAGTGGAATTACTGGATCACATGATAATTCTATGTTTAACTTTAAGAGGAACCACCAAACTGTTTCCCACATTGCCTGAACCATTTTCCTTTTCTACCTAAAATGTATGTGATTGCTTTTTTGAAAAGGGAAATACTCAAGTGTAAACCTTACAAAATGTGTAAATGTGTGTGCTGAAAACTACAGAACTTTGATGAGAGAAATCAAAGATCTAAGTAAATGGAGAGAGCCATACCATGTTCATGGATTGGAAGGCTCAAGTAAAGATATCAATTCTCCCCAATACAGGTTTAACACAGTTCCTACCCAAATCTCAGCAAGATTATTTTTCTAAAATTTATATTGACAGGCAAAGGAACTAGAATAGGTAAAGCAATTTTGAAAAAGAAGAAGAAAATGGGAGGAATCTACCCAATTTCAAGACTGGATGTTATTGGCAAAGGGATAAACATGTAAATCTGTGAAACAGAACAGAAACCAGAAATAAACCCACACAAAGGTGCAAAGGTAATTTATTGGAGGAAAGATAGCTTTTTCAACAAATGGTGCCGGACATCTGTAGGTTCACACAAAAATTAACTCACAATGGATCAAGGGCTTAAATGTCTGATATAAAACTATAGAACTTTTAGGGTAAAAAAGGAGAAAAATCTTTGAGCGCTAGGGCTTGTCAAAGAGTTCTTAGACTTGATACTAAAAGCATGATCCCTACGAGGAAAAACTGATGAACTGGCTTCATCGAAATTAAAAACATTTGCTCTGTGAAAAATCTCATTTAGAGAATGAAAAGACAAGTTATGAGTGGGAGGAAATATTTACAAAGCACATTTCTGACAAAGGGCTATTACCTAGATATATAAAGAACTCTCAAAGCTCAAGAATAAAAAAGCAAATAATCCGGGCGGCCAGCTGGCTCAGGTGGTTAGAGGGCAGGCTCATAACACTAGGGTTGCCAGTTCGATTCCCACATGGGCTAGTGAGCTGTGCCCTCCACAACTAGGCTGAAAGCAACGAGCTAATGGGACCTGGAAAAAACATGCTGTTCCCTAATAAAGTTTAAAAAAAAAAAAGCAAATAATCCAATTAGAAAATGACCAAGAGAGAATTCACCCAAGAGGAGATACAGATGGCAAATAAGCATATGAAAAGATGTTCAACATTATTAACAAATCAAAACCACAATGATATATCACTATCACTACACACCTATCAGAATGGCTAAAATAAAACATTGTGACAGCACCAAATGTTGATGAGGATGCTATGAAACGAAATCACTTGTACATTGCTGGTGGGAACATAAAGTGGTACAGCCACTCTGGAAAAGAGTTTGAGAGTTTCTTAAGAACTAAAAATGCAAATACCATATGACCCAGCCATTGCACTCCTGGGCATTTATTCCAGGGAAATGAAAACTTAAGTTCACATATAAACCTGTACATGAATGTCTATAGCATCTTTATTCATAACAGCCCCTAACTGGAAATGACCTCGATGTCCTTCAACTGATGAATGATTATAAACAAACTGTGCTAATCTATGTGGTAATACCATGGAATACTACTCATCAATAAAAAGGAAAACAAAACCCACCTAACTATTGATGCATGCAATGACCTCTAGATGAATCTCCAGAGAATTACGCTGAGTGAACAAAAGCAATCCCAAAATGTTACATACTGTAGGCTTCCATTTACATCACATTCTTGAAATGACACATTATAGAAATAGAAAATAGATTAGTGGGTGTCAGTGGTTAAGGAGGGGGTAGTGTGGTCAAAAAGGGCCACATGAGGGATAGCTGTGGGGATGAAAATGGTCTGTATCTGACCATATCGATGTCAACTTGCTGGTTGTGATATTGCGAGATATAACTGTGGGGAGAAGTTGGGTTAAGGGGCCCTGGGGCTCTGCATTATTTATTACAGTGTGAATTTATAATTATCTCAAAATAAAAAGTTGAATGAAAGGCAAACAAAAATAACTATGTATGCATTCTTTTTTTTTTTTT